GTCTTTCCAGCCCTGTTCCCAGGTGTGTTGCCCTGTTTGTGTGTATGTGCTGTAACCAGGCGTGTGTTGTGCCGGCAGCGGGGAGGTCAGGCCCAGCCGGGAACCGCTGCCCTCTCTGCCACCAGAACACACCGCCCTACGACGCCGGCTGGCGGAGCCACCTGGTCGCCGAGTGCCCGGCCAACCCCCGCAATAACAAACGTAAGTGTCTGGCCAACCCCCGCAACAACAAATGTAAGTTTCCGACCGACCCCCGCAACAACAAATGTGAGTGCCCCGCCAACCCCCGTAACAACAAACGTAGGGTGTCCGCGACCGATCCCGGCAACAATAAATGAGTGTCCGACCGAACCCCGCAACGACTCTGATAGCTATTGCAACGAGTATCCGACTAGCCCCCGCAACAGAAACTGTGAGCCCAGAGCCAGTCCCAGCAGCAACAAATGTGAGTCCACCGTCCACTCCCAAAACATTGTTGTGAGCTCATCTCCAACCCCCGTTACAATAACTGGGAGTTTAGAACCCTCCTCGGCCCCCACAACAATGACTGCTAGTCCAAAGCCATTCCCCGTGGCAATGGCCGTGAGTCGGCTAAACCCCGCAACACAAAGTGCGCGGCAGACCTAATCACCTCATTCCAGCTCGCTTGCCGATTTGAAGCGGTTTTCAGGGAAGCCGACATTTAGACGAGAGTGCAAAGAATGTATGCATTGCCAACACTATATCCAAAAGTCATCAAGCCTGAATGATCCAGTGCGCTTTAGAGTAACATTTGCTTTTCTTTCACGCCGTTGACCCTGTAGCTAACGACTCTCAGCCTTTCATGACCATGTCGCCTAAGCGGCAGCGTACCGGGTCTAATGTCAATACCCGACCTCGACGCATATCGATCTTAGTTCTTACGATTCGTGTTCAATTGTGTGTTTAGCTGTTAGGCTCAGCTATAATATGTTGTTCATTGGTGTTAGTTTCGTATTAGCATTAGTGAGCAGTCGTCTGTCAACGTGTGATGAATGCTGCTCGTATATAAATTTTGCATGAAAAAAGTAATACATAAATGTACTTTATGAATTCAAAGGGGGTTATGCTCCAGTACCTTATAGCATACTGCATGTGTCCTGTTTTACAGTGTCCAGCGCCCTTGTGCGTCTCCACGGGCACAGTCGAGGAGCTGCTGCGCGGTCCCCGCCAACGTCACAGCAGCCGCCACCACCGGCACAGCAGTCGCAGCGGCCGTCCGCTCTGGACAGCGGGAAAAGTCGGACGGCTCCCTCGGAGGAGCCGGCCGACCAGAGGCAGCCGAGACGGGAGCTGGTCCCGCCGACCTCCGACATGCCGGGCCGGTTCAGCTTCTCCAGCGACGCGCCGGCCTACCTGCGCCAGCCGAGCCGCAGCTCGTCCATGGCCGACCTGCGCGAGATCCCGCTCGCGCTGCCTCCGCGGCGGCACAACTCCACCAGCGATCTGGGCGACCAGCCGACCCTGCTCGGCAGGAACCTCAGGGATAGGCAGAGCCCTCCGGAGGGAAAGAAAAGGGAGCCCAGTCCACGGCGAACTCCTCCGAAAAGCCAGATGACTTCCAGGGAAGCCAGACAGCAAATATCCACACCGAGAGAGGATGTGGTGCGCAGCTCTTCCAGAAACCGAGACAGAAATCAAACTCGGCAGAATAACGATCAAGCCACCAGACCAAGTGGAAGATCCCCCGCCGCGACCACACCCAGGGAGGGCGGTGCCCGAGACGACAAGCGTCGACTTGAGCGGGACCAGCGAGATCAAGATCCGTCTCGTCAGAAGAGGGACAGGGATGACCGAGGACGGGATAGGAACGATAGGCATCCGCCGCCTAACAGTAACCCGAGCCGACCCGTCGGTGGTACGGCGAGAGATAACGCTACCACTCGAACCCCGGGACGGGATCCGCAGAGACGAACAGAAGCAAGGAAAAGCGGCGGAGACGGAAACAGGAGCAAGCAGGGAGGGCGAGATGACAGGAAGACCTCAGAGCGGGACCGAGGGTCTCGGCTGAACAAAGACGACAGTGCTGGAAGTGTTCGCTCTCGCCGGACCGGAGAGGAGAGGGTGAAACCAGCACCAGTGCGAGGCAGGTCTCAATCCCAGAAGCCCAGCGGACGAACAGAGCTGCGGGCTGCCAGGCTGAGCGACACGCGGAGGAGCAAGTCCGTCACCAGGAACACACCTCCCAGGCGGCGGTAGACACGAACGCTCACACAGTTCCCGCACAGCATCTGAGGTTCGCGGGTTGCTTCACAACCCTAAGGCCAATCAGGGCGGAAACAATATCCCTCGCCATTAGCAATTGGATGGCGTATGTAATCATAAGCAATATTCTCTTATTCGTGCGAGCTAGCTATGCCTAATCGTGTTTGTATTGCTGATGCTACGAGGGCGTAAACAAAGCAAATGTTCCTGAGGAGCTAGCACAGGAGCGTGGCCGTGCAATCACTTAATTGTTGGGCTCGCTGTCTCCAGATGTTTATTTTCCTATCACTTGCGTGTTGTTGTGCAGCCTGTTGTCATTGGTTACGTGCTATAAAGATAGTTATATCGTGCTATTCCTGTGAACGACGAAGAAGCCGATTATATTATAGATAATCGTTGATGTCAAACCTTTGCGCCATTTGGAACCTTATTGAGGGTGAGAAATCGCAACACAACAGCTATATTAATTTAAATGATCTACACTTAAAGGTAGTGTGCCACCTTTGAAAGATTTACCATTTTATTTTTCCTAGGATAAGAAGCTTCTGTTTTTACCTAATATCGCAGAAAAAATCAAAAATGGGCCTGGAATAGTGCCTTTTTCGCCTAAAACTTTATCGGTTTTTCGATATGCATAACAACTGTAGTGGGCTGAGCTGCAAACAGGCGTCGGCAACAATCGCGAATGCGGCGCACATGTGACAATAAGCAAAGGTCATTATAGAGTTACGACGTACGGGAATGAGTTATCAGCTGTCTAATCGTAGACAACACAATGTCGAGCCTTAAACTGTAAGCCTGTATTGGTATTGTTTCTTTTATTTGGCTGTCGAACATTATCTATGGTTTGAAATATGATTTTATGTAAAATAATTGATATGAAAAAGCCGTCTCTTAAGTTATGACCCCATTTCACCACACGCAAGTGGCAGAAATGACAATGATCAGCTGACGCATTTTTCTTGGCCGAAGTCAGAGCGCGCGGCCCGACGCACCACCACCGCACCACAAAGTATGAGCAGAAGTCGCGCCCAAAGCCAGGGCCCCGGTAACGTGAGGTAGCCGAGTCGGTGCAGCGTGCGCTGACCCAAGCCGGGGCCGCAGCTTTGGGCGCGGTCTACCGCATCCCCCCGGGCTATCACATGACACCGGGATCACGCGCGGCCCCGGCTTGGGTCAGCGCACGCTGCCCCGACTCGGCTACCTCACGTTACCGGGGCCCTGGCTTTGGGCGCCGTCTACCGCACCACCTAACAGGCGTGTTCGAAACCGCAGGAGATGATGATGAACGGGTTTATCGAAACTTGATTGGATGAGCATATCGGTAATAGCGATTTCAGTGTGTGCATTTATTGTTCATAGTGGTGTGAAATGTGGTTGGGGTACGACCGACAACCCGTCGGGGCGAATTTCGCACTGGGGTACTCAAAATTTGAAGAATTTAAGACGTTTCCATGAGTTTTGAAGGTATGGATAAGTTCTAAAAATCCGGTTCTCCTTATCTGGGCCATTAACTCCATACGGTCCAGGAAAGCTGGCACACTACCTTTAAGTCTTAAGAACGGACAACTAACGAGCTTAATGAGCAATCTGTCAAACAGGAAGATAGGAAGTGAAGGGACGTTGCTGTACCGCACTGTTTGTAGACCGCACGTTGCTCAACAACTGAAAACTGGCAGTGAGCTGCCTATCGCGTAGTCTGGCGCCTACAGACCAGCGGGCTGTTGAATCAATACATATGAAATGCTCGCTCACCAGTTCGCTTCTTTGGAAATGGAATGACGGGGAGTAGTCAACAAAGCTATAAACCATCCACTTAGATACATGATAGCGTTAGGCGTTGGCTAAGTTTTCACTTAAGAAAACTAGGTAACATTGTAACAGGTAGCAATTACAGATGATGTTTATAGGTGAAAAGTTTTTCTTTTAATTTTTTGTTTGCACACATTTTGTTTAGCACTCTGCTTTCGCTCTCAGAATGAGATTGAGTTGAATACAACCAGTTCGGTAGAGGCCAGCAGCACATATTTGCTACTAGATTACCAACTTACTTGATACCTCAACTTCTGTGGAAACGGAAAAGTGTACATAAGTAAAAGGTAGAAAAAGTATATATATGAGGAAGGAAAGTGTGGGCATGTGAGTCAGAATTTCAAGAAACTTCTCGCTACGAGTGAATGCGACATCTTAGATGCCAACCAAGTGAATCTCACTGGTCTCTAACCACACTGCTGAGTATGGGGAATGACCTGGATGGCTGGACTCGTGCCGAGTTCCTGCGCAGGTAAGATTGCATGCGAGAACACAGTGTCCAGCCTCGTAAATTCAGCGCCAGTCGTCAGTCGATATCGACATTGTCGCCGTTCCTAGAGCTGCCGTGGGGTTGCCAATGTTAACCACCGACAACGCCGGCCGCTGGAGCTGTAAAGCAGCGATTACACCGGCACCCGATGGCGCTGGACTCGGCTCAGACAGCAGCGACCGAGGCTGAAACGAGGCGACACTGCGACACGCCATATCAAGCAGCCATAGTTCACAGATTCCTTTAGTTCAGTTTGTTCAGTCGGTAATCAGTGTTATGAGCGCATTTCGGCCCGGCTTCCCCCTCGATTTGAATGACTGATCGGCAATAGGCATTAGGCAGCAATGCTAACTCAACCACTGCCTCGAGTGGCGGAGACTGGAGCCATGGACGCTCTCTGATGCTTTGCCTGCCCTAGGGTGTAAATAAATATTTCCTCGTATCTAGACGTCTTTCTCGTTACTGACACACCGAAGACAGTACAGACATTTACAGACATTTATTGATAGCGCATTTTATGAAACTGAGTCTGGAATCCACTACCCCAGCTGGCGGCGGCTGTGATCCGTTGCGGATTGGCTAGAGCCGAGCTTACCGCAGACGAGTAGGTACAGCTAGTGAGTGTGTGACTGATGAGGGAGATGACGCCGCCGGCCGGCTCAGGGCTGCTGCTGCGGCGGTGGCGGAGGAGCGGCGCCGTCAGCCGCCGGCGGCGCGGGTGCCGGCACCTCGGCCTCCGCCGGCGGCGGCGGCGCGGCCGGCTCGGCCTGTGCCGGGCTCGGCTGGGCGGCCGGCTCCTCGGCACTGACGTCCGCCGGCGTGGCCACGTTGTTAGCGGCCATCGGCGCCGGCGACGGGGCCGACTCGGCCGGCTTCTGCTGCTCCTCCCGCTCCCGACGGAGCACCTCCATCTGCTTCTTCACCATGTTGTTGAACGTAGCATCGTCTACCTTCTTCTCACAGAGAGCCTTCAGCTCATCGTTGAACACTTCAGTCGATTCCTCAAACTTCTGCTTTTTGGCTTCGAACTTCTCTTCGATTTGCTGCAGCTCGCCCTCGAGTTTCTTTTGGTGCATGGTGAGGCTGTGTACCTGTCGCTTCAGCAGCTGCATCCGCGGCGTGGTAACCACGGTACGCACGTCTGGCACCACCGTGTCGGAGAAGATCTCGTTGATGAGCCGGTGGTTGCGCAGGTAGCGGGCGTGCGCCACCTGTTTGACGGAGAACTGCTCGTCCTGGTCCTCCTCGTCCTCGGCCGGCTGGATGTCGATGCGCCGATCCAGGCCCTTCATCACCGTGTTCACCGGCGGCTTCACCTCGTGCACAAGCGGCGGCGTCTCCTCGGCAACCTTGTTCTTAGCCGACAGATAGGCCTGGTAGGTGGCGGACGCATGGTACTCCTTCACGGCACGCTCATATTCGATCTTCTCATTCTCGTAATCATCTATAAATTCCTGCTTCTCACTTTCCGGAAGATCACGCCACATGGAGCCGATGATTTTTCCTATCTCCCACAGCTTTAGGTCCTGATTTTGTTGCTTGACTGTTTCCCATACACTCTTGCTGTACCTCATGTAAGGCATCAGAGGTTTTTCAGGTCCTTTGGGAGGTTTTGGTGGTTGTGCCAGCACCACTGGCTTGCTTCCGACCCTTTGCGGGTTGAAGTTTGGATTACTAGTGGCCAGTGTGAAGGGACTGATGGTGGACTCCTTGGAATTGAGCCCACCAGATGTTCGCAGTCGCTGGGGCGGTGGAGCTTGGACGGGCGCCGACATGGCATTGTGACGGTAACTAGTTGGTAGTGACATGATGTACCTCTACCTGTCAATAAAGTAAATATGCAAACAATTAATACATTGTGCACATGTTTGTCTCCTGCATAACAGTAACAAATTAATCATATGGAGAACATGTCATCACTGATTAATCATACTTCAAAATAAAGCACTGGTGTAAGAGGAAGAAATTGTAGAGCTGAAAACACCATCAGCTCTTACAATATAGTCAATACCTGTCAGTCAGCAAGACATGATTACATGAACAGTGATGCGTACATAAACAGCTGAAGAGAAGGTGGCACAGTGTCAGTGGTAGGTCTGGATATGCAATTTATAACATTGTAAGCAATGAGGGTTTCTTGCACTTCACTACCTCAGTTTGGCAAACTAAACTTCTGGAATCAAAATATGGAGGCAGCAATAATTTGGTTTTGGTGGGAGGAGTCTGGAGTCATGACCATAAAGGGCATCGACAATCAATGTTCATTTTCATTTTTGTACATTCTTGTCTTCAAATGACCGGCAAGGGTTGAAAACAGGCTCATCCTGCTGATTTTTTCATAAATATGCAGAACAAAGGTATGAGCCTGCAACCCCATGTCTTTCAAAATCAAGTGAGCATTGCTTTGGTCTTCTGAATGGAAAAAGATGTTTGTTTGTTTCTTTGTTGGGGGTTAGGGGGCAGGGGCATGTCAATTACTAGGTCATTTTGCGCCAGGCAAAAAGAGCACCACAGCTGTCCATCACAAAAGTTGTGTTGAGAAAATCACACTGTGTATATTCTTATGGAATCATGAATCACATGGTACTTCATGTCCATGAGAAGTTCTTGACTCAGATAGCAAAATGGTTTATTTAGCCTTAATTAGCATTATTATAATGTGACAGCTTCAACCTTTTTGTGGAAGATCAGGTGAGCTCCTTCTTGAAACACCAGCTTCTTTTCTGATAATTGGCAATATAGAAAAGGCCTGCATTTATGCCCACATATGGTCATAAAGAATCCAATGGTTGGAAACACTAAGGTCTCCTAGCATTTTCATTTTAGTTGAATCTGATTAGTATCACAACATGGTACAATGCAACTATCTAACATTTCCTGCCAGTCAACTGCAGCATCTTACCAGTAGACACTAAAAAAATTAACGCCAAAACACCCACCAGCCACCACTCATCTCCCCAACCGACACCATTTTCATTGCCTGTTTCTTGGCCGATATATCCCTGGATTCTTCTGCCTGGGTAAATCTATTTTAATAAGCAATCAAGACCTAAAAATATGTGAATTCATTTTGAATGCCTTCATTTTTTATTCGGAAGCTTAGTTTGCCCAACTAAGCTTCCCGGAAACAGTTGAGTTGAACTAGTGACACTTCACGAGTGCTCTTTCTTTATTTAGCCTTATTGTTCATTTTGATACACAATTGATGGGGCAGTAATATACCAGCAAAAATTCAAGTAAAATTCTAAGAAATCAAGGTGAATGTGCAAAGACCACACATCTGTCTTCAATCGTATCACAACTGGGCCATTATAAAACCTTAAGTTCTCACAAATTATGCTCGAGTGGATCATATATCAGGGCTTATGTAAGACAAAAAACAGCAGAAATCACACATATATAGACGGAGTGCACAACAAACGCCGGTAGGGATTCAGTGCGACATTTTTGATTTACTGTTTTTTTACACAGCTCATTTTATTCATCGATCATTGGCAATAAAAACGTTCTGCATATCGTTCGAATGGGAATTGCATCGGGAAAATTTTCAGATCATAGAACTACTAACAGACGCACACTTTTACCAAATATTACACTCAATTAGTAGCTAGCAGCACCCAATCTTACCGCGCCGCTTCTGTCTGCTTTTTTGTTTTGTTCAAGGTTCGATTCAATGTAGTCGGGAGTCAATGGGAACGAGATTCCGAGTTGTCAGCTGATTTCGCTTATGACGTATCCAGTGCGGAAACTGCAGAAACTGATCAGTCATCCGCCGCTACATTACCATCGCGCAAAGCGCAACAATGAAGAAAGACAGGAAAAAACGTCGATTAAATTGCGGCCTGGCCCTGGCCTGACAACCTGGGCACTGAGCAGATAATAAACGGGATCGGTCACGTCACAGGGACCCAGGAGGTCCCAGACATATAGGTGCAGACATCCCCGTCGAAACGCGTATATTCGGATGCAGTATGAGCAGAGCATGGGTCCCGAAAAATTCCTCAGAAACTAGAGAAATTCTCGGACACACACGACGGGTACCATATGAATGCGGGTGAGACTAAATGCTTACTTCGAAATTTAAAGGGACCCTCCCACCTTCAAAAAAGTTAATGAATTGGCATGAAAGTGATGTCGCCCGGTTCAGAAAGAGCAAAAACGAATATCTACCAAATTTCATCGAAAAATATTCACCGGTTTTCAAGATATTAGACTTTTACTTTTGTTTACTTTTTGGGATCTCCGCTGTTCCTAGCGACTTTATTTGAAAGTGCGGCATTTGTTGCGCGCAAAGCAGCATATACCACCGCGTGCTACAAAACGTTTTAGTCAAACATTTAACGGACGTTCGAAAGCCTGATGACGTCATCAGACTCCCGTAATGGTTAAGAGATAGGGACCACGCTGGTCCCACCCTGCAAGTAAAGGGAAGAAATTTCTTGAACACCATAAAGCTGCGGGGGTTGCGACCAGGATAAATGGTGGTTTCTGAGCCTGGCCGCAAACTTGGCTATCTCAACTCAAAACTAATGTTAAGGTGGGAGGGTCCCTTTAAGCTGCGTTGCGGCATTGGCGGTTATGTGCAGCGTGTATGCCGCATGATTAGTAAGCGGCGACCACTAAATTAAAAACTCAATAGCTTTGACCTGTTTTCAATGGATAACACTGCATACCAAAAATGTCCATCGCTCTCGTCATAGGATATTTAGATCAGTGGCGGCGGAAGGTAGTTTTGGATGGGGGTGCAAAGTTTTGTCAAGGGGCCCCTCTGGAAGTTTTGCCCCCCTCCTTCATTTTTTTTTTTTTTGAGTGATTATTATTGATTTATGGAAAACGAAGATTTTGGAAAATTATCCCCATACACACAAGTTCTGCAAAAGGTTTGAAATTGCAGTGTACATACCTATCTCAAATAATGAAAGCATAAATAAGCAAATGCAGCTAGTTTTTTTATCGGCTAATCCTTTAGTCTAGCCACCACCCGCAGCGTCTCAAACCACTTTTCTGGATCCGCAGTGGACCATTGAGGGCCCTACGAGACCGTTCCAAGAAGACCGTGTTTAGAAGCCCCTTGGAAACCGACCACATAGAGACTCCTCCAGAGACCTACATGACTCCCCAGGCTGAATGAGCCCTCCGATCAGGGTCGGTCCCTTGAAAGTTGCTGAAAGGTTTCAGAAGGCAGTATAGGCTCGAAAGTCTTTTGAGGGCTCTCAGAATCCGGCATCGGACCCCAAAAAAACCTGTATGGAGGCCCTCCAAAGCCGGGATGGAGGCCACACGAGCCGATGTTTAGCCTAAGGAGCCGGTATGGAGGACTGAATAGAGGAAAGGGGTCTCAGTGGGGCCTTCAGCGCATCAACATTTGTTTGTTTTGTTGGGTTAGGCCCTTTCGGTCGACAAGACCATTGCAGAGCCGGAAGGAAGATAGGAATTAGGGGGAGACATTGGTCTGGGCAGGCACCCTAGTGAGTCGCCGGGGCTGAGCCCGTCCAAAGACAGGCCACCCAGCCCCAAGGCACTCACTGCACCCGGCTACGGGGTGCGCTCCCTCAGGAGCAGCGGTGCCGCTCCAAGGGAGCAGCCCGCATGAGATAAAGTTGCCTGTCCAGCCCGGAGGGGGGTTGCGGCGTGGAGGAGAAGGATTTCAGTATCCTGAGGATAGAAGCACGGATAGGTGAATCAACATTTATTTATTTGTGTTTGGGGCATTTCGGTCAAAATGACCATTGCATGCCCATGTGTGAACATCAATGTATTCTAATATCGATGAGTATATTTACATATTGTCTAAGTTAGAGTTTGTCGAATAATCTAATTTCACGAAGGTATGCGAAGAGGAGATCAATCAAGGGTTCTTCAGAATCGCCGAGAACAGAAGCCAATGTGAATTGTATGTTCCTTCGATTGCAATAATCGAGCATCCGTTGTCTTGTATTGTCGAATTTTCTGCAGTCAATAATTATATGTTGAACTGATTGTACGCAGTTACATAGTGAACACCTTGGGCGGGCGTCTCGAGTATATATATGGTTATGTGTATATTTTGTATGGCCCAATCGCATCCTTGCTAATATCCTTTCTTCATGTCTATTATTCCTTTTTGCGGTATGCCATACTTCAATCTTTTCTTTTATCTGTCTGAGTTGTGTATGCTGTGTTATTTGTACCCATTGTTCCTGCCATTTTCTAAAAATAGCCTGTCTTATGTTTGCTCTGATAGAGTTGTATTCCATAGGAATGTTTGTGATATTTGTAAGATTCAGGGCATTTTTGGCGTGTTCGTCTGCTTTTGTATTTCCGTGTATACCGCTATGGCCTGGTATCCAGAGAAAGTGGACCTTTTTTCTGTTGTTCGACGATATATGTAATTTGTTAAAGATGTGAATGAGAAGAGGTGATGCTGGATATGTAGCTTCTAGCGATTGAGCAACAGATCGTGAATCCGTGCAGATCATAGTTTGTGCCCAAGACTTTTCATTAACCAAATCAATTGCTTTTACTATGGCATGAAGTTCGGCTATGAATATCCCAGTTCCATTTTGTAAGCGAGTAGATATTGAATGATTTCCTACGGGATCAAAGACGGCGTTTGCGACGCGGTCACCCAACTTGGACCCGTCCGTGAAAATAAAATGATGTGTAGGAAATTCTTGTTGTGTCTGAAGGAACTTGTGTTGTATTTCTGTGTCTGTCACTTGTGTTTTCGGGCAATCAATAAGAAATGAAACTTTCCAAGACCTGACTACCCATGGAGGGGTGTTCAGTATTGGAAGTGGAAGAATGTTTGGTTGAATGAAGTTAATTTCGTTACAAAATTTCCTTATTCTAGAGGCAATGGTGAGTCCCGATCGTTTCTCTGCGGGACCTAAGCGATTGTGGTGAATTGATGGAAGAATGGTAAGTGTTTTGAGTGCGCTGTGGTCTGGGTGAAATCTGACTTTACTACTGAATCGTAAAGTCTGTTCGATGCGTCTAAGGTGTAACGGTGGTATTGTTGCCTCAACTTGAAGGGATGGAATTGGTGAAGTTTTCATCGCGCCAGTTGCAATCCTAATAAATGAATTTTGGATGGTGTCAAGTTTCTTTAAAGTGTTGTCGCTTCCTCCGGAATAAACTACAGAGCCATATTCAATTACTGGTAAGATGAGCGACTTATATAATTGGAGAAGTGTTTGCCGGTCAGCCCCAAAATCTGTGCCAGCAACACAGCGGAATAAGGTCTCCTTGTACATTTTGTTTTAACATATTGGACGTGTTTACTCATGGACAATCTATTATCTAATACAACGCCAAGGAACTTGAATGAATTGACACGAGGTATAATGTGTCCGGATAAACGTAAGTGTGAAGGCTCCAGCATTCTAGTATTCTTTGTAAAAACCATGACAGCAGACTTCGTTGGAGAAAATATGCAACCATTCTGCCGGGACCATTCATCGAGATTGTTGAGTATATTTTGAAGACGGGGAACAGAATATTGCGAATCGTCATCTGTGCACCAAATGGCGCAATCATCCGCAAATAATGAGTATTGAATATCTTGAGGAACAGAGTTAAATATATCATTTATCATTATATTGAAGAGCATAGGTGACAAGCAGCTTCCCTGCGGTAGACCGTTTTCGAAAGAGAAAGTATCTGAGAAGATGGAGCGAAAACGCAGCTGAAAACTACGAGCACCTGTTAGGAAGCCAACTAAATACCAAGCGAGATGTCCGCGTAAACCGAGATTGTGAAGTTTGCGTAGAAGTGTTGGTCGATGTACCGTGTCGTAAGCACGGGTGATATCTAAAAAGACAGCAGTGGTGTGTTTTTTAAACTTAAAACCCTTGCGGATGTCTGTTTCAAGGCGGATTATGTGATCTAATGTACTATGATTTTTCCTGAAGCCACTTTGATATTTTGATAACAATGTATTTTTCTCCAGAAACCATTCTAAACGTTTCCCAACCATTCGTTCGAATATCTTTCCAAAACAACTAGTCAAAGAAATTGGACGGTAGTTGTTTGGATCTTTACGGCTTTTTCCTGGTTTAAGAAGTGCAATAACAACTGCTTCCTTCCATGCTTCTGGAAATGCCTGTTTTGTCCACAAATCATTAAATGTTTGCAAAATAAAGTGTAGGGTAGAATCCGGAAGGTGGCGAAAGAACTGATAATGTAGCTGGTCTGGGCCGACAGAGGTGTTCCCAGTGGACTGTATGGCGTTTCGAAGTTCCGATAAGGAAAATATATCATTGTATTGCTCTATATTATCGGATGCAAATGCATGTGGTGGAAGGCGAAACTGTCTTTGAACATAATCGATGAATCCTGGCCTGTAGTGACGTGATGCACTATGATGGGCTATGGTTTGTGCGATTGTGTTAACAATGTCCTTTGGTTCTGTAATATTTGTGTTATTGACGTGTAAAATTGGAAGAGACGTGAAACTTCTCTTGCCCGACAGAGAGCGTACCAAGTTCCATATTTTACTCAGAGGGGTACGATAGTTGAGTTGCGAAAGGAAAGACTTCCAGGAGGCTCGTTTTGCCTCTCTGATAGTCCTCTTGCACCGTGCTCGTTCTTGGTTTCTTAGAAGAAGTGTTGTATTATTTCTATGGCGTAAGTATAGGCGGAAAGCTCGCTTACGCTTTGCTATGGCGTGAGCTACATTATCAGACCACCATGGGACTCGCTTACATTTTGAAGAAGTAGATGTTTTCGGAATGGATACTTCCGCTGCTGTTAAAATAGTTTCTGTGAGGAATTTAATGCCATGTTCTGGAGACTGAAATTGCTCATGGTCTACCTCACAAAAGGTTCGGAATTTCTCCCAGTCGGCCTTTTTGAAATTCCAACGTGGAACCGAACCCTGGACAACATCAGCATCTGAAGAGAATGTTGTTCGTATCTGGATGGGATAGTGATCACTATGGTGGATGTCATGGTCGACAGACCAATC